AAGCTTGGGGTACATGATCAAAAATTTTTTTAACAAAAAGTTTAAGATCCCCCCCCCCCCCATCATTTTCTTGGAAATTACACACGATTGATTGTATGCTATCCTGATACAAAAAGGGCTTTTCAAAACCAGAATCTGACATTACTAATGAGTTAGACTCTTTATAAGTGAATTCTAACCAGATCAGAACAATATACTGTATAAAGTATGACATTAAAGCAAGGTAAAGTCGATTAGGATCTATTTACACTGGCTTATCTTACTTAGTATTTTTGTCTTGTTTCTAGTCAAAATATCAAAAAATTCTTAAATCAAGATACTTTGACTAGATAAGCCAAATTACTTAAGATATTTAGTCTTGTTCCCAGGGGAAAAAACTAAATTAAGTGCATTTTGCTTAAAACAGGTAAAATTATCTGCCAGTGGGGTAAGTAAAATACTCTTGATTTAAGAATTTTAAGATATTTTGACTAGAAACAAGACAAAAATACTAAGTAAGATAATCCATTTTTTGCAGTATAGTTCAAGTAAATGTTTGCATTTTAATAAGCAATGTGCTTATGGATGAAATAACGAGTTTATTAGGTAACGCCTAGATGATTTAAAGTATTTGCTTTCAGTTTAATAAAATACTGTTAGAAACAGACTAATATCTTTTCCTCTGTGGATGCTATTTATGATAGACGATAAATATGGTTATCAGATTTAAGCTTTTGCGACATTTGTAACTCGAATATAATGACTCGGTTCCTTTCGTACATTTTAATCAGTGCTTTATTTTCTGTTGGATGAGCACATAATGAACACATTATTTCCCAGATATATATTTATATTTATATATGCAACAAAAGAATTAGATTTATTTACCTTTAGTTTCTTTGTTTAATCTGACAACATGGTTTTCCCCGCAAACACATCCCACTTCACACCATATTATTGTCTTCATTCCTTCATCCTCCATCTCACACCCACTCAGACTGTGGGAGTTTTCTCAAAAACAAAGGTTGGCAGCTTACAGAACAGCTTTAGAATCACTCGTGGGAAAAGTCTGACATTATAGGAGCTTTACTGAATATGAAGATAAAATCAGGTTGTCTGGGGAGTGTCTCAATACTGTCTGATTTGGTTAATTTGATACATCAGTATGAAAACTTTGCTTATAGTAGAATTACTTATTTATGCAGTGTTTTTACAGCAAATATGGTCAGTTGTTTCATTGTGTAACGTTTTTTTCTCATTTAACACAAAAGCTATGGTTTTATATTCTCTTGCGATTTTTTAATAAAGAGCAAAAATTAATAATTAAATGAATGTTAATTCAACTACTTCAATTAAATTATGCTCGTATTTTTAAAAAAGTAGAATAAAATAAATGCAATAGGTCATCAGTTTAATTGTTTGTTAACTCTAGTGAATGTCGTATAAAGTTATTACACATAATTGTTGAACTTTAAAATGGTCTGCAGTGAAAAAAATAAAAAATAATAAAATAATATAATAGTTCATCATTAGTTGTTTGTTACGTCCACTGAATGTAATTTAAATGTATTCCACATAATTATGTAGAATTAGAAGTCATTTTGCAAATAAAATAAAATTGGAACCTGTAATCAGCTTTAGTTGTTTGTTAATTTATTCAGATGACTCTAACGAATGTCAAACAAAACAAAACACAACACAAAACAAAAACAGCTCATCAGCTTTAGTGGTTTGTTATCTCCAGTGAATGTCATTTAAAATCATTCCATATTATGTCGAATTTTAAAATGGTGAAAATAATCAAATAAAACAAAATGAAAAACAGAACATCTGATTTATTTTGACATCTAAAGGTATCGCTCTCAAACTGCTATAAAAGACTATAAAACTACAGATTCTATAAAATAAAAGATTGAATCGTTTAGTGGATTCTTGCCAACGCTCCCACAATGTGGAATCTCAGCAGTGCTGTGACATCACTGTCCCCCTAATTACCATGACAACTGTATGGATGAAAGATCCAATTTAAGAGGTCAGTTATTAATGAATGCCAAAGCCATGATTAATAGTCCACTGACAACAGAACAGTCCCCAAACTCTCCATTAAACATGACAGGACCCTGCAGGGCTCGGAGCAGCGGATCTAACACAGAAGCCAGAGACATCATGTCACGATGATGAGGAGGGTGATGAAGAGGGCTAATCGCTCTGTTGTGGTAGAATCAAGAGAGCAGAACAACAGATAAGGCATAAAAACAGCAGCGGTCAGCACCCGGGGGAAGCAGCCATGAGAAAGAGACACAATAAATGAGACGTACCGGTAGATAGAGAGGTCAGCACTGATAGCTAACACTGGTCACAGAGATCACGCCATTTCATCCGCATCTTCATTTTTAATGATCCGTGCTCCAGATCTGGGGCAATCCCACAATTCCCAGCAGCCGGATCTAATGGGGATTTTTTTTCTGTTGGTCCATTGGTTAAAGCGGTTCAAAAGCATTCACTGGCACCCAGAATTTTTTGTAATGTTTTATTGTATTCGAAAATATATATAGTTGAAAACTATTATTATTATGTAAATATAGTAAGTAAAATGTTTGTGTGTGTGTGTGTGTGTGTGTATATATATATATATATAGTCTAAAGTCTCAAAATGTAATTATGAGATAACAAGCATCAAAGTTTGATCTCAACCATTAATTTTACTATGATTTTAATCTTTAACATTGTCTTACTCAGTCAATATTAAAGATACCGAGGTTACATTTTCATAGAATGTTCTTTACCTTATGAAGGATGATTTTATTTAGAAAACAACAAAAAATAACCAAAAAATGACTTTAGGTTGGTCTTCAGTCTTTCTACAGCAACACTCAAACAAATACTTACATTCAAGATTTATGTATTGGAATTGCATATAAAACTCCCATTCATTTGGATTACACAGTTTTAATAAATAAACATAACGTGATGTATATCTTGTCAGTCAAAATCAATAAAACAGGTCAGATTTCTGTAATAGTACTAATAAACTAAATGTGTTTTAATATACACAATAACTAATATATATATATATATATACACACACAGTATATATACACAGTATATATAAACATTTTAAATTAAATAAAAAATCAAAATAAAACAAATGTTAACTTGAATAAGATATAAAAACGTAAACTTATTTTATTTTAGCTAGCTTCCGAGGCAACATTTCTCATTTTCATTTCAACTTGATGTACTAAAAAAATAAAAAATAAAACTGAAAAGAAAAGGAATAAAAACTACACTGACACATATTTAAAACAACAAAAATAAAAAATAAAAGATTCACAAAAACACAGCAAAATTACTAAAACTTTAAGTAAAATTAACATGAAAGCAGAAACTATAAAAATGAAATATAATTCAAAATATTAACAAAACCCAAAGATACTAAAATAACACTGCTTTTAACTTATTTTGTTTTGTTTTATTATTTAATTTTTTAAAATTATTTTTATTATTTCATTCCGGGTTGTAGGTTAGGGGTTTTAAATTGTGAAAAATTCTGGTAGTTTTCTGTTAAAAGGTGCTCAAAATGATAAAAATGTCATCTGAAATCAAATGATCCAGTTTAGCCATTTTATGCAATTACTTTTGACTGGTTATTTTTTTATTTTATTTATTTTAAATCTCTTTCTATTCTGTTCGTTTCGAGTTGTAGATTACGTTTTGTTGAAATTGTGCAAATTATTTCTAATAACGTTCAGTTAAAAGGGACTGAAAATTGTATATTAAAAAAATGTTATATGTATATATAACTGGTAATATTGCTCCGAAAAATGACCAAAAGGATCATTTGATTTCAAATTACACTTTTATTTTTTGGACATTTTTAAAGAAATGACAGTGTAAATTGAATTAAGTCTCTAGATACTTTATGGGGCCACTAAAAGCATTAGTAATATAAACCAAAAAGCCTTATATAAAACAGAATAATAAAAGCTACAGTAAATCTGACTGATTCTTTAACTGCAGAATTGAATCTGCGATATGACGCAAACAGCATGTGACGTATGCATTTGTACTGATCCTAAATCAAACCCAAAACAAAAGTTCACAGGTTCGGTTAAGAAAGCTTCAATTATATATTGTTCCCGCTCTCAGACGACATTGTGACCATGGAGACGGAAATAGGAACTAGGAAACCCGAGAATGCAGAAGTGATCCTTCCTCAGGTGAGGAATCAGAGTACCTGAAGCAAAGCTCCTCTCAGTCTGGTCTGCACCTCTGGATGTGTCTGTCTCTGTGTCTGCGTCTCCATCAGTATGAACCTGCCGCTGCTTCTGCTCTGTGTTCTCCTGGAGCTCCTCGTGGTGAGCTGTAAGTACAGATTTATACTTCAGTCCTACAAAATCCTTTCAGTGCATTAACACAGTATAGCGGCATTGAGTGTTGTGGCTTGTGGAGCAGTCGTATACTGTACCTTGAGCAAAGCAATGATCTGTAATGAAGTTTTTACTGCAAAAACACACTTAATCCTGTAAAAAAAAAAAGGTCTGGGTGACTTGCTATGAATTTTCATGTGAATAATAACATGACATAATTATAATAATTTTACAACGTCTGTTTTTTGATTTTACAATGTGTTTTATAATTAAAATAATATTAATAATAATAACATCATTTAAAAAAAAACACGAAATAAATTGATGGCACATTGCAGTGTTATAGATTCAATCTGTCAACCTACAGCAATAAAAAAATGTAATACAAAAATAAAATAAATAAAATAAAAAATGTTTTAAAATCTCAAGAGAAAAAGAAAAGAGATTTGACAAATTATCATCTTTCTATAACATAATATATATATTTTACACATATTTAATAAAAAAGCTATCAATTTTAGATTTTACTGAAGTCTCCTCACGACTTTGAAAAGAAATGTGCTACAATTTGTCAAAATAACAAACTCTGCAATATTAAGTCAAAGATCCCAATATGAGTTAGCTAATGCTTCTCCGGAGAAAAAGACCCAAAGTCACCCAATACAAACTTTTTTAGTGCTGTCAAATGATTAATCGTGATTAATCGCATTCGAAAAAAGTTCTCTTTACATAATATATGTGTGTGTACTGTGTATATTTATCATGTATATATAAATACACAAACATACAGAATATATTTTGAAAATATTTACATGCATATATTTATATTTGTATAATTTATATTAAATATAAGTATATTTAATATAGAAATCTAACATATTTTTCTTAAATATATACATGCATGTGTGTGTATTTATATATACATAATAAATATACACTGTACACACACACATATTTTGTAAAGAAAAACTTTTATTTTGGATACGATTAATCGTTTGACAGCGATCAACACACTGATGTTTAAAACGACGCTGTAAAATAATAATGGCAAGTTTCCTAAGTTAAAATAAATAAATAAAGATTGCTATAGAAGACATTTTGGGATCTGACTTTTAATACTGGGTAGTTCATTTTTAAGCTATTTTAGATGTCTGGCTGAAGTTTTGTCCGTGTTGGGATTTATTTAGTGCAGAAATGACATGAGGACTAACTAAAAGTTTATTTTCATTGATGGATGTGCCCTTCATCCTGACAGCCTGCTCACTGAACGAAATCCAAAGAAGCCCGAACAAATCGTTTTTCATTACCAACACGAAAAATAGCCCTGCAAAGCAATTATAAATCTTAGAATGTGCAAACAAAATCTTAATCAATCCATCAGATGCTGGAATCTAACGTCAAATCGCGCTGAATAATAAACAATCACAACAAAGTCGTTTAAATCCCCAAACGCTGTAATTTAAATCCATAAACACTGACGTTCAGCATTGTTTACTGTTTTTCGCTACTTCACGACATAAACAGCAAACAATAGAAGTACATAACCTCTTCATGTACGGGGAATTCAACGCTTTGTGCCCTTTAACGTTTAGGATTTCCTCACGTTGAGAGCTTCATAAAGCAATCTGATAAAGGTCACACTGCTGCCAATCCTCATGAGGTCTAAGGTCATTCAATCAAGGTTGCAGAATAGATTCAAATCCAGCATGCACGTGTTTCACACGGGCAGAATGAAGGCCTGCTAATATTGTAACCTATATATACAGCTGCCTAATTGTTAAATGTCGATCAATATGCCCAAGGGCAACATATAGAGCAGAGATGACTTTCCAGTCTCCAGTCAAATCAAACGCGAATCATCTGTTCGTGACGCACATGTTAGGAAATGATAGTCTTGTGCGGACAGATTTAGATGGGGGGAAAATCCCATATTGTTTATGTCGCATTGTTCGGTATTGACTGTAAAACAAATTTAGCAACCTTAAGTTACACTCTCTCCTTCCGAGACAAAGGTTTGGAGTCAGAGCGGCCTCCACGTGCGCGCATGTGAAAGGAACATCTAGAGACTGAAGATGCTGTCAGTGAATTCACGTGTCTGCTGGTTTGTTTCTCAGGTCAGGATGTGATACAGGGCCGTATCGTGGGTGGATACGTCCCGGCGCCGTACTCCATCATTTAAAATACTTCACAAAAGTAATACTACACAAACTACACAAATAATAATAATAAAAATAGTTTACGTAACAATATGTGTGTGTGTGTGTGTGTGTATTAACAAATATGTACACATATACACACACACACATTTTTACATAATATATTATTGTTTTACAGCTGGTCTTCCAGTCTGATCATAGCTGGTTTAAGAGACTGGTTTAGACTAGTCAGGCTGTTTTTAGTTACTCAGGCTAGGAGACCAGCTGATCAATCATCAAAAACCATCTGAACACCAGTTTGACCAGCTTAAACCAGCAAGCATTTTTTAAGTATTAAAAAACGGGCAGACAGGGTTGCCAGCGATTCACAGTAAAAATATGGTTCAGGCATTATGGGATGACATATTGGCACTTAAAGGCTGCATTTTATAACTCATAACTGTATATTTTAATTGATATAATGTTAATATACCGAGCTACTTGAGTTATCAAAATCTGGATAATACAGGTGGAAAAAAGAACAGAATAGAGTTCAACTACAGAAATAAATATCAGAAAGCGTAGCACAAAACACACTAAAGTACATTACTGATAACAAAAATAAGGAAAAGTAAAAATAATCATATGTGATTTCTGGAAATGTACAATTTTGATAATGTATGATAATTCATGGCTTTTATTTCCAAAAACCATAAATGTGACGGTATATTACAGTGTATTTTAAAGCAGAAGTACAGTAAAATACAATAAAAAAAAGTTGAGTTTTTGAACTCGAGTTAAAAATCAGTCTTGTGTCTTTAGGGCGGCAAACATGAGGATCGTGGCTGGAGATTTTTCTGTGGGATTATATGAGGGGACGGAGCAGTTCCGCAGGCCTCATGTTTTAATACCTCACCCGCAGTACAACAAAGCCACCAATAACGCAGACATCATGCTCATTAAGGTGAGACAGTGGAATCAATGCTCCTGTGTTACACCGAACCGTCAGTAGCTGTGAATCATTGATTCCTTTCATGCATATAAAATGAACTCAACGCTCCGGCATCAAGTCATATTACATCAAGTGATGGATGTGTCTCTCAGTAATCAGTGCTGCAACAATACTGCATGAATGTTTTACACCTTTAAAGTTTTAATTGTAAACTTAAAATTCTATACTTTTATATAAAATTTACTATGCTATATAATTTGATAACATTTCACAAAAAGGATTCATTTGTTAAAATTAGTTACCTACATTAGTGAACATGAACTAACCATAGAAAAATACTTCTGAAGCATTACTGAAGTTCACGTTAATTGACTAATACTATACTACAATTATGAAAATCTAAAGTTTTATCTGTTAATAATATTTCTTGGACATGAGCTGTAGCATGAACAAACAGTTGTATTTTGATGAACTAAAACATTAACAAAGATTAATAAATAGTATAATAAATCTATTGCTCATTATTAGCTCATATTAGTCAATTGTTAACAAATGTGTTTTTGTAAAGCATAACAGTTTTAGTATAACAGTATAGCATAGATGTTTCAATTTTAGTATATATGTAAAAACATAATATAATAGACCCTTTTAATCTTAAAATATGGGGAAACAAATCTACTTACTACATCAGAAACCATGCTAAGCTAAACAAAAATTGGATTGAAAAATACACGTTTTGAAAATGTATAATAATAAATCAATGTTTTTGTGTGAACTTTTACACAAATTACAACTGTCCCACACTTCCATTTCCACCATAATAATTTTGTCCTCAGTAAAATTATAAAACATGACGTGAATAAAATAAAATAAAAGTAAAATCAAGGCAAATATCACTTGTTGTGCATAATTTCCAATCAAAATGTCATTTTGCCAAATTTTATTGTATGCTTTATGTGCACCATTAATTTTTCCCTTTCTCTCACCCGTTTAGCTGCAGTCTCCCATCTATGTGAACAGCTATGTGTCTCTGGCGCCGCTGCCTCGGCAGGACGCTATGGTGGCCGTGGGTCGCGTGTGCATGGTGTCCGGCTGGGGCTTCACCACTCCAACGGGAGGAATCCCTGCAACCCTGCGCACGGTCAAGTTGCCCATCGTGTCCAGCACAGTGTGTAACGCCACGGACTCTTTTAATGGAAACATCACTGAGAATATGATCTGTGCAGGATACAGCGAAGGAGGAAAAGACGCATGTAAGGTGAGACAATCGATTAATGCTGCACAGGCACTTACCTTAATGTGACCGGCACAGGACAATGGACTGGACTTTTTCTGATGCTGCTGGAAATCTTCTATTTATGAATAAGTGGTATTTTGGAATAAAAAACTTCTTGGAATAAACTACTGGTAACTATTAGCACAATTTTAGTGATTTACTGGACTTTGTTGTCAGGAACATGGTCGTCTTATATTCAGTCATTATTTGGATTTCACTGTTTTTGCCAACAACTTATACATTTAATTGGTTGCACTGCTGACTGGGTCTAATTAAACTTAGAAATGTGTGGCTATTTACTTTAGTTATCAGATGCAAATTAATTAAAAAATAAAATAAAATAAAGAAAACTATCCAGTTATATAAACATTTTCAAACCTAAGTGGAGCTCAACTCGTTAATTAACTAGCACTGTACTTATCTTGTGAAATATAAAATAAATAAATGTGTGTGATAAATCTTATTCAGTCAGGTTAGAAATATCTGGTATTAATTAAAGACAAAATGAATGAATAAAAATGCACTACTGTTCAAAAGCTTGGGGTCTGTATGATTTTTAACGTTGGCTCTTATGCTCACCAAGGCTGCATTTGTTTTGATAAAAAATACAATAAAAACAGTAAAATTGTGGAATAATTTTACAATTTAAAAGAGCGGTTTTCTATTTAAATATATTTTAAAATATAATTTATTCCTGTGATCAAAGCTGAATTTTCAGCATCATTACTCCAGTCTTCAGTGTCACGTGATCCGCCAGAAATCGTTCTAATAAATATGCTGATTTCCTGCTCAAGAAACATTTCTGATTATTATCAATGTTGAAAATAGTTGTACTGCTGCTTCTTTAGCAGGAAGTTCAAAAGAACAGTACTTATTTGAAACCGAAATCTTTTGCGACATTATAAATATCTTTACACTCTCACTTTTGAGCAATGAAAAAAACTAAATTTAGCTTACATATCTTTTGAACGGCAGTGCAAAAAATAAAAAATAAAAATAAAAAATAAAAATATATTTTGGCTGACATTGTAAATCTATATATTTCAACCCCTCGCCTTCAATCTGCTACGTAATGCTCAATTTTTAAGACCCAAGTAATTGTGAAAGCACATGTTCTGGTGTCGTTGTGAGTTTCAACAATCACTCTTCTCACACACCATCTGACTTCCCTGTCCAAAATCATATTAATATATGATTGTCTTTTCTGCAGGGTGATTCTGGAGGGCCGCTGGTGTGTGAGGGCCGTGTCTATGGCATCGTCTCCTGGGGCAATGGCTGTGCTGATGCCCAGTACCCCGGCGTCTACACGTCCGTCTCGAGGTTTCGTCAATGGATCGATGGAACTATATTTGGCTTTTATGGAAGGTGCCTCAAGTATTAGACTGCAGTGTTACCCCAGCACTCCCCTAATCGAACTTGAAACGGCCTCGAAACATGCCAACATGAATACTGTTGCTACTTTCTTCTATTTGAAAAGTTAGGACTTTTGATGATTTCCAGACGAGTACAACGCTGTTCTGAAACAGCACATTTGTTCCTCAACAGCTGGTAGACCTTTTTTTAAACACCGTAGTTTGTGCAAACTGTTCCTTAAATGTGCCATATTGCTGCTTCCCTGCAATGTCAGTGAAAACTAACAATAGAAAGCTGAAGGAATATTTTAAAAACAACACAACAAATTGTGAACGCTTTTATATGGAATGGTACATGTGAGAACGAAATATTCATAACATTAAAATGAATTTAATCAAACAGACTTTCATTTGGACTGTAACCAAACTGGTTACACACTTGAAATGAATAGTTTACTCAAAAATGAAATTGTCAATTTACTCACCATCGTGTTTTGTCGACCTGTTTAAAACTGCCTTTATGTCTTTCATCTGTGGAGCACAAAATAAATATATATATATATATATATATATAGTAAGATATTTAAAAGAATTCATAAACGAATACTTTTATTCAGCAAGGATGCATTCAGTTGGTCAAAAGTGACAGTAAACACATTTATAATCTTACAAATGATTTCTAATAAATGCTCTTCTTTTTATTCATCAAAGAATCCTGAAAAAAAGTATCATGGTTTCCAAAAAAATATTAAGCAGCACAACGGTTTTCATCAATAATGATGCTGAAAATTCAGCTTTGCATCACAGGAATAAATTACATTTTAAAATATATTCAAGCAGAAAGCAGTTACTTTAAATTGTAATAATATTTCACAATATTGCTGTTTTTACTGTATTTTTTGAGCAAATAAATGCAGCCGTAGCAAGCATTAGAGACTTTTTTTTTTTAACATAAAAAAACTTTTGAATGCTAGTGTATATATACGTAAGACAATTGTTTGACAATGCAAAAGTATTGAGATATTAAATGTATGTCCTGCATAAAACATATTTTAAACCACCCTAAACTGGTTTGCTTGTCTTGAGTGGTTTTAGAGGGGTTTTGGGCACTAAAACCATCAATGTCTGATTTGAACTTTTTTTAAGTAGGATGTGGATCATGATTTAGTCTTAAACGAGAGTTTCATGTAAAATAAATAATATTCGCATTTACAGTAATTTTTTAAATAAATTCATACTGAAATATCTGATTTTTAATGTCAAATCTGAGCAGTTTGAGAAGTTGCTGAGAACTCTTCAGACACACATACGAGATGACTGTTTTTTTTTCTCAGGAAAGAAAAGGGAAGCAGAGGATTTAAACAAAACTCTAAATTTAATCTCACTGCTGTCTAGTAGACACAATTGAGATATACAAGAAACCGAAATCTCAATTGTGATTTTTTTCCTCTATCTAGTTTTTGGAGTCTAATGTTCAATCTGTTCCCTATCGTCTGTCCTCTTGTGTTGATATTTACCTCTTGAATGGCTGCTTTTAGGTTATTCTTCTAAGCAGGTGTGAACGTGATTCCAGGAAGGAGTGGCTGAAATCTGGACAGATTAAACTACACCCGATAGGTCATCTGAGGCCATATCAGCACACCACAAATACTGCACGCCCTACTTTGACAATTCTCAAATGACAAAACTAGGGAGATGTCCTTCAGCTTAAGGGCGTGTTCTTCATCCAGTGATGGATATGAGGCTCCAGCATTACGGATTACATAAAGAGACATCTCTATTGTGAGATCCACAGCTTGAACACGTCAGAGGGGACTTTGAAGACCTATCGCATGACATATTCAGCCATAGTCTCGTACAAGCAGCATCTCAAAGGGAAAACTGACATTTTTGTTGTGCAGATTTTCACATTGTAGGATTTAGCACGGACCACAATAGTCTCATGATTGCAGCTCTCTGGGGAACCTGGCTTTGTTGTCAAATAGACAAAACATGACATGTAACATTGAGCTGCGTCTGAAATTAGACCAGCCTTATCGGTTTTTCCCTGACTGGTCTAGTTTGAGACTAAATTTATGAAGTAGCCCTCATGACTGTAGTGTAGTTCAAAATCAATACAGCCCAAAACACATCAAGAAAATGATTCACAAAATAAGCTTCTAAGGTTTTAAATAATTAAAAAGAGGGATAAGACAGACAGACATATAGACAGATGATAGATAGACAGACAGACATATAGACAGATGATAGATAGACAGACAGATGGATAGACAGATGATAGATAGATAGACAGACAGATGATAGATAGACAGACAGACAGACAGACAGACATACATATAGACAGATGATAGATAGACAGAAAGACAGATGGATAGACAGATGATAGATAGACAGACAGACAGATGATAGACAGATAGACAGACAGATGATAGATAGACAGACAGACGGATGATAGATAGACAGACAGATGATAGATAGACAGACAGACAGATGATAGATAGACAGACAGACAGACAGACATACATATAGACAGATGATAGATAGACAGACAGACATACATATAGACAGATGACCAGACAGATGATAGATAGACAGACAGACAGATGATAGATAGACAGACAGACAGACAGACATACATATAGACAGATGATAGATAGACAGACAGACATACATATAGACAGATGACAGATAGACAGACAGACAGACGGATAGACAGATGATAGATAGACAGACAGATGATAGACAGACAGACAGATGATAGACAGACAGACAGACAGACAGATGATAGATACACAGACAGACAGACAGACAGACAGATAGATAGATAGATAGATAGATAGTCAGATTATAGACAGACAGATAGATAGATAGATAGATAGATAGATAGATAGATAGATAGATAGATAGATAGATAGATAGATAGATAGATAGATAGATAGATAGATAGATAGATAGGTTTTGTATTTATCTATAAGGATTTATGACTCCAACCCACAAGAGGGCGTTTAATCCATATCCATTAGAATAAATTAATCTGGGATCTCCTGTTGTATAAAATTCCATACAGAATGTATTTTCTGCCATGGGTTGGCCAGCTGCTCACTGGCTGATGGGAGAGCTGGTCCGCTCTGCTCTGCTGGACAGGACAAAACACTCTTGACACAAGCTCAGCGTGACGTCATGAGCAGCCTATTCCTGACTGATGCAGCGTTTTATTCAGAGCTCTGAAAATTAGACACAATTCTAAAATGAGGATGCATGCAAAAATTAAAATGCATTGCAAGCAATTAAAATGCATTACATTTAACGTGCTATAGCATAATTTATGCTCTGTTGTTTGTGTGATGCAGGCATTTACTGAGAAATCAATGGCAAAGCTAACAGTTAACTTTTTTTGCAACATAGTTTGCAAACAGAAATATCCCACATTTGACTTTTGAAACGTGACTGTGGCTCTAGGAGACACTTAGGACCTTGAATGCAGCTTCATTCGGCTTCACTCGAGCATACTGGCACATGGACTACGTTTTGTTCCACTCTTTCAAATACTTGCATTGCCACTAGGGTGAATTTGACCCGGACTTTGCAACACACACACACACACACAATATAGCCTTTCTAGGAAATGCAAACAGTAGGTTAACTTTAAAACCCACTGGCATTAGTGGAGCTATTGTGATTTATGGTGCATGCTCTCAAATGCACTCTCAAAGAGAGGATGGGTCAAGACGAGTGGCCTAAATAGCTTTTTGTTTGTTTGTTTTGCTTTTGGCATTGCTTGAAACTCCCACATCTATGCCACATAAGAGCTCCTCATACACTGCAAAAAAGAAGTGTGCTTAATTGTGTTGAATTTTAAAGTACTTTAAATCTTAAAAGTATGTTTTTTAAATATAATTCCCTTTAATATAATTTTAATGAAATTAAAGGCCACTTAAGTGTACTTAAAGTGCACTTAAGTGTTAAGTGCTTTAAGTGTTTTACAAAGTGACTTTAATAATGTCAAATTAAAATAATTACATTTAAAATTAAAGTACATTGTTTTAATTACCGGTATTTGTTTGTCATGCTAAAAGTACACTTATTTTTTAATGTTACATTTTCAGTACTTGATTATAATTGAACTGTTTTATGCAATATTACATTAGTTAAATAAAAGGTAATATATTTGAAATGCACAAAATTGCAACTTTATAAAATGTGCATTTACAAATATATTTAAATATGAAATGCAAGTTATATAAATTAGTTTAAAGTACATGAATGCTTGTCGCCTACATTTTGCAGCACACTTGAACCATATTGCAAAGACAATAGAATTATAAAATTACATGAATATAAATGATATAGTATAGTACTTTATAATTTAGTCTCCAAAAACATTACTTCTGTCAGGACCACTATCGTCAAAGATGATTGACAATTAGCATACAGTTTGGATTGGCAGTATGGTTCTGTTCTGGGCAAGAACTCCCTGCGCATCCATGCAGCCTAGCATGGATGAGAGCAGGGAGAGCAGCGATAACCCCCCCAGGGTAAACAGAACCAACATAAATGTAACACAGATATCGTTAAAGTTCAATAATGTTATGTACACATTTTAGAATTAGTCTGATTCAAAGGAGAATCAGAAGGCTGAATCCTGACTGACAAAGGGGGAGCTGGGGATGGAGGAGGGGAATTAGCTATTGAGCAATGCGAAAACTGCTGATAATACTGAGGGACCTTATATATGAATGTTTAGATAGGTGTCGTATTCCCATAGGTTGATAGAGATCAGCTGATGCGAGCTCGACTAACGTGACTGCCAGAACTAATGCTACGCTAGATATTCTGTTTGCACTTAAGTGTATCTCAAGGATATTAAGAGATAATTCACTCAAAATGGATGGATTTGTTTTGTTACAAACATGCAGCTTTTCATTTCAAAATACATTAATTGATGGACTGGAGTTGTGTGGATTGCTTGTGGATTATTGTGATGTTTTTATCAGCTGTTTGGACTTAATCTGACGGCACCCATTCACTGCAGAGCAAGTGATGTAATGCTACTGTAATTTCTCCAGATCTGTTCCCGTGAAGAAACAAACCCATACATTTTGAATGGCCTGAGGGTGTCACTTTTTATTTTTGGGTGAACTATTACTGAAAGTCTGTGGTTTTACAAGGACATATAACTATATTTGAGCAGGAGAGAAGGGTTTCCTACTAAATTTCATAGCAGGTAAATGTAACACTCACAATCTGCAGTGGCTAATGAGTCCCATCAGTCAAAGCTGAGTAAAGCAAAGCCTTTGCTCCCAATGAATGATGCAATGATTGCTCTAACAGATTCAGATGTGCCCAGCCACTTAGTGTTAGGAACACACATTTGAACGTGACGGCATCCATTTTTCACCTTCAGCATGCAGAGAAGCTCAATTGAGATGAATAGCACTACTGCACAGTCCTGGG